TAGTTTCTTCTAAATTTTTTGCCTGAAAAATTGTTAGAATAGCATGGTTGATTTGATATAAGGTTGGCATCAGAGCATTCAAAGTGGATAAAGTGGTGTTTAATTGCAAATATAATTTTTAGAATATCCAATTTTAGTTTTATAAATTTGGTATCTAAGCTTCTAATTTTTTCCAAATAATTGTTACAATAGTAAGAGTAACTTAAAATAAAGTTGGCATATAAGGGCTTTAAAAAATTGGGGCATAGGAAAGGAGGTTTAAGTGATAGGTGTCAAACCTGTGTAATAATAATTACCTACTCAAGAAAAATATTAATTTTCCATAAGGTGGTGAGCAGGGCCGAATCCATAGGGACTGAGAAAAACTCGCTTCTTCTAGAGTTTAGAGTACGGGGGAATTTTATAGAAAAAAATAGGAATAATTAAACTACTTGAATAAAATAAATAAATAAAAATTAAATGACAATTTATCAAAACTGAAGTAATAATAGACAAGCTCTAGCCAAGAAGTAACTTCAGAAATGGTTCACTTAATTGATCATTGATGCAATAGTAATTCCACTTATTAACTGATAAACAAGTTATAACTGCCAAACAAGCGATGGCAGTCAACTTCTCCTTAATTTATAGATAGTGGTACGACCGTTAGTTATTGCCTTAATCGAGAAATAATCCTAAGTACGACCTTAGAGTTCAATCTCCCAATTACTTTAAGAATTAGAGAAGCCCTGTTCTAATCAAATAATACGCTACGAGAGTTATTTTAAATTAGTCCGTATATTTCCCTAACACAAACCCAATCATGCCAGTCACCACTAATTTAAAACAATTAAACAATTACAGATTTAATTGCCCTAATTGATTTTAGGTTATTAAATTAATCTAAATTTCGGGCTCTGGATATTCGAATAATACAATAATCATAAGAAAGTAAAGTATGGAATATACGAATACCAGAAAATAAGAAAAATAAATAAAACGAATTCGATCTAATAATTTCAGGTGAACCAAATCTTTCATTGTTTCTTGACTAGAATGGCGAGTTTAGTTCATCTCCAGAAATCCTACATAAAATTGAAGAATCCATTGTCGAAAACATTCCTCAATTAGAGATGAAGTATCCGAAGAAAAGAAAGAGAAAAAGATCCAAAACGTCTCTTCTCCTCTCTCTTGCGGCCAAGAGAAGATATCTACTTACTAGTCTCTCCTCCTTGAACTAAGAGATAAGGAAACGATCGATAAGAGATGCTCTCTTGTTTCCTACTACTACTAAACTACTACTTACTAATTCAAGTTAAACTATTCCAACAAATCCTATCTTAACTGAAAGGAAGAGTCAATAACAATCCTCTAGTGCAACCTTTCTAATCCGAGTTTAGAGACTTCAATCCACAGTTGGATATTACGCGTCAACTCCCGAGCTCCCCGAGACTAGGCCTGTCAACGGGTCGGGTCTAGACCCGGATCCGTGAAATTATTGCGGGTATGGGTAGGGATTTAATTTCGTTTCCCGGATCCGGATCCGGATCCGTTTTGTCAAACAAAAAACGGGTCGGATACGGAATATAGTATTCCGGCCCGTATTAGACCCGGATCCGAATATAAATGAATTAATAATTTAAAAAATATATATTTATCAATATAATTTGATTAGGGTGATGTATTTGAATAAAATCAATTTGATTTCTTTTCTTATTTGGTTTTTTCTTTGCATTAGTTAGAAATTAGTTTACAAATATATTTTGTTCTCATTTTTATTAGAAATTATAAATTTTGCTAAATATGTTCGGGTAGACCCGACCCGGATCCGGGACCCGCCGGATCCGGATCCGGAACATAGTAAAAAGGACCCGTCGGGTAAACGGGTCGGATCCGGGTCCGGTATAGTAATTCGGGTCCGGGTCCGGAATAATGAATTCCGGCCCGGACCCGACCCGTTGACAGCCCTACCCGGGACATGCAGAATTTTAATTATGACGTGATCACACCGAACAACAATTCTAGTGAAGGAATCACGCCGAACAACAATTCTAGTGAAGCAACTGGCACAAATTACCAAAAATAAGAAGAATCCACCAATTAATGCAATATTTGGTCAAATGAAAGATGAAACTAAGCATAAAATTTATAACAAAATTGCTACCTATCATTAAGTGCAAAATTAACTCCTAGATAGCAATTATCTTTATTGATCTAATTTTGTTTAGACTTTTTTGATCTAAATTATTATTCGAATATTTAGGACAATGTAAAAAGGATAAAGATTTAAGTGCAAAAAATTGTTAAGAAAGACATTCTAATTTGTTAATTTCTACTTTTTTCCTTCCAAAATCCTTTAGAAGAAATAATGTTACATAGTGACGGTAATGTTATCATTTTGTATACTGCGATAGTGACTTTTTGTTGCATCTTACTGATAGGGAAGGTAAGTGATATTACCTTCCCTAGACTAGTCATCATGTAATGGGTCTAAAGCCCTCCTACCAAATAAAAAAAAAAAAAGTTAAGTGGTATTTTTAGAACTATAGGGATGCTAAATGATATTACTAAAAACTTTAAGGAAGGTTGTTTTCAAAATTTTACAGTTTTTTAAACAACTTCAACAATTGAAAATATTTTGAAACTCGGACTGATGAATGAAAGGGACATAGAATGTTTGTGACTTTAAGTTCAAACGTCTAGATTACTAGTTCAATCATTTTCATGTATTTTGAGTTTGAAAAAATTTTGATGTGGTCGGAAATCATTGCAAAAATCAAAACCTCCCGGAGTCTAGGAATCCTAAAGAAAGTTTGGAAGTCTTAAATGGTCCAAAAAGAATAAAAAGTTCATTATGACTCCTTGAAGAAAAAAATCACATAAATTAAACAAAAATTTGTCTAATCGAATGTAACACATCCTCAACTTCCACAAGCGCTTTGAGGTTTTAAACTTGTAATTAAAGTTGGATATTTGAATATACTAATGAGCAAAATAGATGTAGAATTAGGATAGGTCCCAAAAATGATAAACAATAATGAAAGATTTGTGGCAAATGGTGTGCAGGATGAGGGTTTGTTCTACTTTTGGTCATTATGGTAATCACGTCTTTTCCAAGTTGCTCTCTTTTTGTGAACAAATCTCATTTTTTATGCTTGGGAGAGAGAGAACCCAAAATGGGATGCATGGAATTAACAAATAATGGGTTGTGCTCTCATGCCTCAGTTCAGCTAATAGTGGTATTAACTAGATGATTATGAGGTTTTTTATTTTAAGCTCTTTGTAAGATTTAGAATTTGCTTTGAAAGATGAGATGTAAAGTTTTGTAACTAAGATTTTGAGGAGCAAAATGAAAATAGAAAAAACTTTAAAGGGGCAATGTGGAATGAACTCAAAAAGTTTATCGTCGAGTGATTTGACAATTCGAAGTCTTGCCTTTGATGTCTAGTCAATTATATAAGCTAGGTTGAGGAACGCTATTGTACATAGACAAGATGAGACTTTTTTTTTTTTGGTCCTCCCATCCTTTCCTGTCTCCAATTGGGACGAGATTTGATAAAGTAATTGAGCAGGTACTAAAAGAACTAATTATGTTTTGTGATGCTTCAATAGTGGTCCATCCATAAAAGAACTAATTATTTTTTTACCAGTTTGAACTTTGAACAATTAGTCACATTGATTGGTAAATAAAAGATGAAACAGCATAGAAAAAAGTTTAAGAAAAATTATTGCTAAGTTGAAGATTGCAAAGAAACGTCTATGGCAACCAAATACCCTTTATGGATCATTTCAATCTGTAGCAGCATTATGATAAAGTATAAACACTATTAGACATCAAACCAGAAGGAACATGGAGAACGTTATACAAAGATATTACGATGGATACAATGTTGGATTGATAGAATGCATGACTGTGCTTGCCCTTGCAATGACAAAGTAATACAGCTGCATCAAGTTCAAACCAAATAATATGGAAGCTCCAGAAATTGCAGATTCAACGTATATACAGATGAAGAAGGGACACGAGCAATTATATATCATTGCACTGATTTAACATATACATACAAATTTATCTAACCTGATGAGTGGAGTGATCACTCCAAATCAAGAAAAGACATGAATGCTTCAGTTTCATCCCAAAACTGCTCTGGAAGAAGGAATAATTGCAGTACTATATCAGTTGAATGAAGAGGTACACAGACCACCTGACAAAAATGGTCATCTAGTTTATCTGATTTGTCATTTTGATCAGTTCGAGCTATTCACCCCTTAAAATGGAAAACAAAACGTGAAACAACGGTAAAAAAACTGTAAGAAAAATCGCTCCTTTAGAATATTGCTTCGTGAAGAATAAAAATATTTGTACTTCAGCAAAATATAGTGAAGAAAGACACATGTTTTCATATATTTAAAGCTATTTCTAGATCTCAATGTCAATGAAACATGCTTTTCATATAACAATGTAATGCAAATCATAAAGGTCAAGTTTTGACGCAAAATTTTACAACTGAGTCCTATGGCCTTTCTCCGTTGAAAAGTAACACAAACTGGTTTGAGTCTCCACTTAATATTTGTTGTAAAACCGCTATTGTATATTTCAACATATCAATCAATTTAGTTATGGTTTTTATTGAGGAAAAAGAGAAGCAACAACAGAAAAGTGTATAACGCATGTATGCAGAGAAGAATATTTCACAAATTGGGATTATAGATCCTTATATAAACATTATTCAACATTGAAACAGATTATGCTAGCTAATGTTTGGTTAATGCATGATTGTATTTTCCACTGCAAACAGAAAGTTATATAGCAGCATCAGGTTCAAACAGAAGAATTTGGAAGCCTCCAGAAATTGCTTTGATATATAAATGAATTAATATATCATTGAACTAATTCAACATATAAACAGATGAAAAATCGACATGAATCATTATATAATTGAAATGATTCAACATATGCAAAATATAATTTTAACTAACCTGATGAGTGGAATCCCACTGTACGTTCACTCTCACCCAGTTCAAGTATAGTGAGACGAAATAGACCCTCTTTCTGAGCAAATCCCCTCTGCTTCTGAGCAATTTGTATAATCACAATTTTTAATTATGATCTTTAGAAGCTCATTTCCACCATCCATCTGTTCTTCCTGAATTTTCTCTACTGACTTTGCAACAGACTCGCGACACTTTTTCACCTCCATCATTTCAAGAGTATGACATTCCCCTAAACAAGAAGGGACCTCTTCCAACTTCCAACAATCGATCACCACCAATTCCTCAAGATGGGAAAAATTGTTAGAAGATGCAGTCCAGTTGCAAATGTCCAACCTTGACAATTCCAAGACTCGGAGTTTAGGGAACTCCCCTTCCTTCATAACCCATTCTTCTCCGACAAAGGATTGAGTCCATAATTTAAGCACTTCAAGATTGGGCAACTTTCCAATTGTTGAAATTTCACTCCATGGCTGATAATTAAATATGAAAGTCAACTTCTTCAAATTCAACGGGAATTTAAATTCATATCCCTTTAATTCAATCAAATGAAGTGATTCTAGTTGTCTCATACAGTCAAACTCAAGAATCTCTTTGCTACTTCTAGTTGCAAAAGTGAGTCTACGAGCAGGCTGGGATCTTTTGCAGCTACATTTTAGCCTGCGGATGGTTGGTAACTTTGCTAGTATCTTTTGCAAGCTTTGGGAGAAGGGTTCAATTATTGTAAGGTTTAAAGTGTCTAAATGAACTAAATTTGGGGATACTTCAAGATTTTCAGCTGGAAATATGAAACCACGAGTCCTATCTGTAGTACATAGATAACTCAATCTCTTAAGGTTCCAAATAGTATTTGGCAGCTCAATTTGATCAAACGGGTGTTCTACGATAAGAGTTTCTAACCTTGAGAGGTTCTCTATCGCAGATGGGATGGATCTTGTTCCATGGAGCACCAGGTATCTCCAGTGAACAAGCGATGCCACTTCCATTGGTACACAATTATATCCCCCCAAATCCAGCACTCTAAGAAGTTTAGGTAACAAAGTCCCCAACTCCTCCTTTTCAGTTAGATAATAATGACCAACAAGTCCAGACAAGAGCAAACTGCGTAAATTGGGAAAAATTAGCATTAATTCCCAAATTTTTAATTCCCCGGTATTGTGAGCACGAACTCGGTAGTGGTTGCTTGATCCAGCTAGCAAGACTGAAAGGGTCTTTCAAAATATGAATAACACATAGAAAGCTTTCTTCTTTGGCTTTTTCCACACAATACTCGTGTACCAAATCATGAAGTTGGCAGGCTTTGGCACCACCCATAGTTCTTTGTTTAGTAACCACAACTAAACTTCTACTAATTAGAGCCATCAAGTAGTCATAAGCTGATTCCTCTAAACTTTTTCCTTTAGCTTGTTGCACCAATCCTTCAGCGATCCAAAGCCATAACAACCTTCGCACGTTAATAACCTCATCTTCTTGAAATGCAGCAAAGTATAGAAGGCATGGCTTCAAATAATCCGGTAAATGACTGTAACTCAGCTCAAGTGTCTTCTTGCAGTCTTTATTGTCAAGGATAATAAATTTTAGATATTTTGCAACTTCTTCCCATCTATCTTGTGCAGTAGTAGCAAGAATTCCAGCAACAAGGACAACTGTGAGGGGTAAGCCCCTACAAGTTTTCGCTATTTGAAATCCAACTTCACTGAGTGTTGGAGGACAACCTTCTTTGAAAAATAGTTTTTTCTGCAGCAATGTCCAACTCTCTTCATCAGTAAGTGGGCAGAGATGGTAAGGCTTGCTATCGGGTTTGAATTGTGAAGACAAATTCTGAAATCTGCTAGTGAAGAGAATCCTACTTTCATTGGCATTATTCGGCAATGACTTTTCCAACAAATTCCATGCCTCAACGTCCCACAAGTCATCCAAAACAAGGAGATACCTTCTTCTCAGCAAAACTTGCCTTAGATTCTCAGCCAAATCATTTTCATTCTTCTTAAGATATTTGTTAGGACTCTCAGAAGAAATACTACACAAAAGCTGAACTAACAAACTATGCATGCTATACATTTGAGAGACACAACACCAGCAACGTACATGGAAATGTGACATAACTGAATCAGCAATATAAACTTTATTGGCTAATGTGGTCTTGCCAAGCCCAGGCATACCTACAATGGGAACAAAATCCAACTACTTTGATCCACTCCTAAGTCGATCAATGATAGATTTCACCTTGCCATCGAGACCCACCAGATCTTCATGGTGTATGGCGGCAATAAGTTGTGATGGTATGTGAATGGACGTCTTGTTAACTCTCTGGATTTGACCATTCTGTATCTCCAGGGCCTCAATTTTCAGAAGATTGATATCTCTAGCAACAGCATCCAAAGAATCTTCACACTTATCACCAACTAGTGTTGTGTCAATCAATAACTCTGCCTTGTATGCAACCTCCATAACATGACTCCAAAAAGCTTGGAGTTTTCCATTCTGATAGCGCTGCTCCTTGATATTCACCAGGACGTGTCTCAAGAATTCGAGATCTTTTTCAATCCTTTGGATTCTATCCTGTAGAAAAACAATTGACTCATTAGCCTCATCACACCTTGCTAGTTTCTTGAGATTGTCTAGGAAAAATTCCATACAGCCCAACTCATTGGATCTTGGATAATTAAATGATGAATATGGTGATGTTAGTTGATAATTGTGTGCAACCTCTGCCACCAAATACTTGAGAACTTTGTGCAAATGAAACAGCCCAAGATCCGTTTCTGTTGATTTGTCAAGACGCAGCCGCAATTCTTGACCTTGGATGGCAGAATTTTGCGTCCCACATCGAAGATCAGAAACGGAAGGCTTCCCTCTTGATTCCTATAAATAGAAGAGGCCATTGAACGTTTGATGTGCACCACTCAAGAGAGTTATATGTGCTATTAGTTTCTTGAGTCATCTAGCCCATTCAGTCAAATATTTTAGGCTCTCTTATTTTGAGTTTAGGAATATTTTCTAAACTCTTTTGTAAGTGCCTATTGGCCTAGGAACCACTTTCCTACGGTCTTTTGTATTTCTTCTTCATAGTAGAAATATTGCTCCTCCCTCGCCCGTGGACGTAGGTCAATTTGACCGAACCACGTAAATCTTCTGTGTCTTTTATTTGTTTTGTTATCCGTCTTTATATGGTCGGTTTTACCGCCTAATTATTATATGGCTGGTATCTACCGCCTATCTATTATATGGTCGGTTATACCGCCTACTTTGTCCTAACTTGGATTTGTCTATTTCCTGGGCCGGTCCTAACAAACTGGTATCAGAGCTGGTTATTATATTTTGCAAGACAGGTTCATCTGGTGGGGTCCGTTCATCTGGTGGGGTCCGTCCATCCTGTGTGGCCCACTCATCCTGTGGGGTCCGTTTATCCGTGGGGCCCGCTCACCTTGTGGGGTCCTTTCATCCCGTGGGACCCGCTTATCTCGTGGGGCCCACTCACGAGACTTGCATATTCGTTTGGCCAATTTTTTGAGACAAATTTTAAGTTACTGATTTTGTGGCAACAATGACGATAACAAAGACGGTTGTCGAGAAATTCGACAGGAATGTCAACTTCGAAATGTGGCAGCTCAAGATGGAGGCTATTCTTGCTCAAGACGGAGTTGATCTAGCGATTCACGGAATCGAGAACAAACCAGAAGATGTAAAGGATGCGGATTTCGCCGATATGGATAAGAAGGCCAGATCCAGCATAATCTTAAATCTCTCCGATGAGGTATTGCGTGAGGTAGCAACGGAGACTTCGGCCAAGGCTATGTGGGATAAATTGAAAGCCTTGTATATGAAGAAGACAGTCGAGAATCGGCTATATTTGAAGCAGAGTTTGTACATGCTTCGGATGTCTGAAGGTACATCTATACTCTCCCATCTTGATAAATTTGATTCCATTATTATGGATTTGGGGAATATAGATTCGAAAATTGATGATGAAGATCAAGCCCTATTACTTTTGTGTTCCCTTCCCCAGTCTTTTAAGCATTTCCGCGATACTATGATTTATGGAAAGGAAACAATTTTGTATCGGGAAATTAAATCTGCATTAAAATCTAAAGAGCAGATAGATAGGGACATTACTGGGGAAACTAGTGGGAGTCAAGCCGATGGCTTGTTTGTTCGGGGTAGATCTGAAAAGAGAAACACAGAAAATAGAAGTAGATCCAAGTCCAGACATAAAAATGTGGTGTGCAATTATTGTAAAAAGAAGGGCCATGTTATCTCTGATTGCTTTAAATTGAAAAATAAAGAAAAGCAAAAAGGGAAATTTGTTGAGAAAAATACTGAATCCGCTGAAGCTAGTATAGCAGCTGATGAGAATGATGGAACCATTTTCTGTGCAACGGAAAATAATTTTAGGTCTAACAATGAGTGGATTTTAGATTCGGGTTGTTCGTATCATATGTGTCCCAATAGGGACTGGTTTTCAACATATGAATCAACTGAAGGTGGAGTTGTCTTAATGGGCAACAACGCTGTTTGTAAAGTTGTTGGCAAAGGCACAATCCGGATTAAAATGTACGATGGTATTGTGAGGACGCTCACAGATGTTAGACATGTTCCAGATTTGAAGAAAAATCTCATCTCTTTGGGCACTCTTGAGTCTATTGGGTGCAGGTATTCAGGTGGAGATGGAGTTCTCAAAATCAGTCGAGGAGCTCTTGTTGTTATGAAGGCACACAGATCTGGTACTCTATATATTTTGCAGGGATCTACTATTACAGGTGCTGCTGCTGTTTCTACATCAACTTTGTCTGATTCTGATTTTACCAAATTATGGCACATGAGATTGGGGCACATGAGCGAGAAGGGCTTATCTATTTTATGCAAACGAGGTCTTCTTGGTAGTCAAAGTATTGGAAAGATGGGACTCTGTGAACATTGCATTTTTGGAAAGCAGAAGAGAGTTAGCTTCCAGTTGCCGGCAGTTCACAGGACAAAAGGAACTTTGGACTACATTCATTCAGACCTCTGGGGGCCTTCTCGTGCTTCTTCTAAAGGAGGTGCCAGGTACATGTTGACTTTCATTGATGATTATTCAAGGAAAGTTTGGGTATATTTTCTTAAGCATAAAAATGATGTTTTCCTAACTTTCAAGCAATGGAAAGTTTTGATTGAGAAGCAAACAGGAAAACACATTAAGCGGCTCAGGACAGATAATGGCATGGAATTTTGTGAAGGTGAATTTAATGAATTCTGCAAGAATGAAGGAATTGTTCGGCATCACACCGTCAGGATGACGCCTCAACAAAATGGTGTGGCTGAACGTATGAACAGAACGCTTTTGGAGAGAGCAAGATGTATGATCTCCAATGCAGGGTTGACAAACGACTTTTGGGCAGAGGCGATCAATATGGCCTGTTATATTGTCAACCGTTCTCCTTCTGCATCTCTTGATTTCAAAACTCCTGAGGAAGTTTGGTCAGGTACTCCTGCTGATTACTCCAATTTAAAAATTTTTGGATGTCCAGCATACATGCACGTGAATGATGGAAAATTGGAGCCTAGGGCTAAAAAGTGCATTTTTCTTGGGTATGCTTCTGGGGTGAAAGGATACAGATTATGGTGTCCTGATCCCAAATCTCCAAAATTTGTGATCAGTAGAGATGTTACTTTTGATGAATTGTCTATGTTATCTTCCAAGAAAGAGTCTTCTAGTCCTTGTACTACTGATAGTACACAGAAGCAGGTGGAGCTTGATATTGGCAGTTCTGGTCCTTCTCAGACCAAATCTTCTATTCAACATGCCAGTAGATACACCTGAATCTACTGTTGAAGATAGTTCAGAAGAAGAGGAGTATTCCATAGCCAGAGATAGACAAAGGAGAGACATTCGACCACCACAAAGATATGCAAATTTAGTTGCATATGCTTTGTCTGTTGCAGAAGAAACTGATGCAGTTGGTGAGCCTTCCACCTATTCAGAAGCAGTTTCTTGTGATGATTCTGCAAAGTGGTTGATTGCGATGAATGAAGAAATTGAATCTCTTCATCGTAATGAAACTTGGGTTCTTGTAAAGCCGCCGTCAGCTAAGAAAATTGTTGGATGCAAATGGGTCTTCAAGAAGAAGGAAGGTATTCCAGGGGTTGAAGATGCAAGATATAAAGCACGATTGGTTGCAAAGGGCTATAGTCAGGTACAAGGTGTTGATTTTAATGATATATTCTCACCTGTTGTTAAACATAGCTCTATTCGTGTTTTGCTTGCTTTAGTAGCCATGTATAATTTGGAGTTAGAACAGCTTGATGTTAAGACAGCTTTCTTACATGGCGAACTTGAAGAACAAATTTATATGAAACAACCCCAGGGTTTTGAAATTGAAGGTAAGGAAGACCATGTTTGCTTATTGAAGAAATCCTTATATGGATTGAAGCAGTCTCCAAGACAATGGTATAAAAGGTTTGATTCCTTTATGTTGGGTCATGGTTATTTGAGGAGCATGTATGATAGTTGTGTTTACTTCCGGAAGTTAAATGATGGTTCTTTCATTTATTTGCTGCTTTATGTTGATGACATGCTCATTGCTGCCAAGAATTTGTCAGAAATTCACACTTTGAAACTGCAGTTAAATAGTGAATTTGAAATGAAAGATTTGGGAGCAGCTAAGAAAATTCTTGGCATGGATATCAAGCGAGATCGAGGAGTAGGGAAGTTGTTCTTGACCCAGAAAAATTACCTTGAGAAAGTTTTGGAGCGTTTTGGCATGAAAGATGCTAAACCAGTATCTACTCCTCTTGCTAGTCATTTTCGGCTATCTGCTACTCAATCACCAAAATCAGATGAAGAGGAAGATTATATGGCACGGGTTCCTTATTCCAGTGCAGTCGGCAGTGTTATGTATGCAATGGTTTGTACTCGTCCAGATATTGCACAAGCAGTCAGTGTTGTTAGCAGATATATGTCTTGCCCTGGTAAAGCACATTGGCAAGCTGTGAAGTGGATTCTCAGATACTTGCGAGGTACTTCAAATGCATGTTTGGAGTTTGGAAGAAATAATAACACTTTGGTTGGTTTTGTAGACTCAGACTACGCTGGGGATCTTGACAGGAGAAGATCACTTTCAGGCTATGTATTTTGCATTAGCGGTTGTGCTGTTAGTTGGAAAGCTACTCTACAAACTGTC